ATATACACTTACATAAAATTATGAAAACTGAACTATAAGTTACTTATATCTACAATAACATTTTATTTGTTTTACTGTAAAAATACAACACTACAAAATGTATGTTACAATTACGAATTTTTAGTAGTCTATGTTTATGATAAAAATATATGTAGATGAGATGGAAACTCAATGTTTTATGATCCAAACTAAATTTTTTGTGTGTATAAGCTACTTTGTTTGAAATATCAAAACGAAAAGCATGATTGATTTTAAACTTTGTTTTTAATTAATGTTTATATATAATTGTGAGCGTACATTTATTCAAGGTGAGCAAATAACAGAATCATTTTTTACAAAAATTTTAATTTATATAAAAACTAGTGGTGTATGGCTTCGTGCTTTAAAGCAAATTGCTGGAACGTCCCGTACCGTAATGGAATATTCGAAGAATGTTAAATGTTTTCAAATAGACTATTATAAACACTGTAACTTATATATGTTTACAGAAAAGTAAATAAACAAAACTCAATCAATCAAATTTGATATAAAAGGCATTGTCTAAAATTTATAGAAATTATATAAACTGAATTACAAAGTTAAAATTATTTATTTCAAATATATAAGTAAGCTCTGATATTTTAGCTAGAGTTAAAATTAAAATCCGAATTATTTTAAATATTCAAATAATTTTTGTTTGAAAATTACAAAAAAGTTTTTAAAATTTTGAAATAAACATTTTTTTGCTTTTTCCAAAGACTGATAGTGCATTCACAAGCTAAATATTTTTTGAATCATTGATATCGGTTGAACGTCGATGAAAAATTGTATCCGCACACACACACACATACATTTTTTCTGAAGTATGCCAAAATGTTTAGAAACCTTTGAAACGTGAAGATACGCAAAAATTTTCATCGATCAAAAATTTGTGTATTCCATTTAATATATTTGTCAAAAGTAGCTCTAAAATGTTAGATAATATAAATATAAAATGAATTTATTTCAATGATAATAATTTTGTTTATTCGAGATAATTACTCCATTATTTAATATGAATCCACAAATTTGTATTTAATATGAATTGTGTATCACATTATTTTATATAATTATATTTATATTTATATTACGGATACAGGATTAAATTTAATAATTACAGAGAATAAATTACGTTCCATCATCAGGTTTCTGGAACAAAACATATTTTTATGTAATAATATTAATGATGATAACTGAATACTGAATTTTTTTACGAGCGTTAATGACAAAAAAATCGGTCATATGAATTTATAAATCAAATAAACAATTTTTGTTTCTCAATTTCTAGTATTTTTTCAAATTTTACATGGTACATGATGCATTTGTTTATATGTGTTTAAACATTTTGTAATCATCAAATTATCCATTAATATTGTTATTTCATAAAATATTTGATTTCGACAGAAGACCTGATGACGGAACGTATCTAGTTCCGAAACGTCGGAACTAAATATGTATAAAAAATGCTTTTTATTATATATATATATATATATATATATATATATATATATATCTTGATGGTTTTTTCGACGTAGAAACATATTTCAAAGTAACTAGCAGCCCATTCGTCAAAATAAAAAAGGTAAAAAGTATTAAAAACTTTTATTTATACGTTTCGACACAAGATGCGTGTCATCATTCAGCAACACAGGACAAAAACACTCAAAAAAAATTATTTAAAAAAAAAATTAAACTTATAACATATTAGAAAGAAACATTTTTTTGGAAAAAATTATGAATAATTAAAAGATTTGAAAACTAATATGACTAAAAGTTTTGAAATGTAACATTATGAAGCGAGAAACACGCCCATACCGAGCAAAATATTAGACTGTAATGATATATATATATATATATATATATATATATATATATATATATTCATTTATTTGAAAAATAACTAGCAGCACATTTGTCAAAATAAATAATTTCTTTTATTGTTATCAATGTTTCAGCACTTGATGTGTGTCGTCATTTAGTAAAATACACATCAAGTGTTAAAATTACTATTTTATTTTGATGAATGGACTGCTAATTATTTTCAAATATGTTTCAACATCAAAAAAGCGAATATTAGGTGAATATATGGATGTTTTAGAATTTCCTTGCTCCCAGGGCTCAAATGCTTCCAAATTGATAAAAAACAATTCTCTGAAAGTTTTAGCTCTTAATATTAACTTTCAGATAGTCCTCCCTCCATCCAAAGTTTCTTAAAACTTAAAACATCCATATTAAGGATCACCCTAATATAAAAACAAAATATTTAAACTATATATATATATATATATATATATATATATATATGTAATATATATTATACCTGCATTTTCAGACCCCTTATCATCCCCTTCCTTATCATCAGCATCGGTTTTGGTGCCCCCAGTCTGTGCATTTGTAGACGCAGATGGTTTTGGACTAGCACAAGGACTCTTTCTTTCCAAACTTCCGCCAACTTTTTGAGTTAGACTTTTATTGGAAGAAGCTGACGGTTTAGTGGCTTTTCCAGATGTCGTCCTGGTGCTACTGCTTTGACCGGATGTTTTGCTTGAGCTATTTTCTTTAACCGAGTCTGAATCTTTTCGTTTTTTCCTCTTGACTTCATCTTCTGCTTCAGCGGGCTGATCAATCATGTCGATATTTCTTTTGGTCGAAGAAGTTTCATCTGATGTTGTATTGCTGTTGGCATTTGTATCCGAACCTGGATGGAATAAGAATCAACTTAATAATAATAATAGATACATATCTTTGGTCATATGAATACTTTATATATTGACACATAAGTAAAACACTACATTTTTCTTATAGTCTTTATTTTTTAATCTTACAATATATATGGAATGTGTACTGCCTTAAGGGGAACAAAAGTATTTATTAATTTATTTAAAAAATGTTACAGTCTCAGAATATGTATATATATATATATATATATATATATATATATTTCCTCAAAATTTTAAATAGATGGATTCACTAGTTTTTTCTTTTAATTCCCATAAATGACCTTTTTTAGGTTTCACACTAGGAGTGCCCCTTAAGGCAAATTGCTGGAACTTCCCGTCCCGTAAGAAGGCATCCATTAGTCACGTGAGGTTTTTAGGGAAAATGGGGGGTTTGACAAAAAAATCACAAAAAATCACGTAGGGTAGGAAGGGGTATAGAAAAATATCACGTGAATTAATTTTTTATTTGAAATTTTTCTTGTAAGTATACGTGATGTTTGGTGATGAATTATTCAAAATTTCGATATGAAAGTGTATAAAACAGTTTTTACTAGATTTTAGTAAACTTTATCTAGTTTTTACTAATGTAAATAAATTAAAATATGCGGGATGAAAATTTCAAGTTATTTGAAGAAATGCAAAAAAATGTCCTAAATTCACATATTGCTAATAATCGACTTGACTAAAATAAGTCAAAATTTCGATATCCAAGTGTATAAAACAGTTTTTACTAAATTTTAGTAAATTTTATCTAGTTTTTACTAATGTAAATAATTTGAGGAAATATAAAAAACGATCCAGATCCACAATTGCTAATTATCAAAAATAAAACTCAAGTGTAAACAAATAAATAATATAATTAATAAAGAAAGTTTTAATCTAAATTCTTGTATGTAATTAAATAGTTCTAAAAAATTAATAAAGAAAATAAATTGGCAAAAACTAATCAGCACATCTTCCTATCAATTGTTTTTTGAATCATTCAAACTGGTTGATCCGTGCACCCGAAAACGTCGACGAAAAATCGTCTACCATTGTTTCTGAGGTATGCCAAAATGTTCAGAAACACCTAAAACGTGAAGATATGCAAAAATTTTCATTTTCAGGAAAAAATTTCCCCAAAAGCTGATGATAACTTCACAAGCTAAATATTGTATGAATCATTCAAATCGGTTGAGCCGTGCTTCCAAAAACGTCAATTTTTTCTGAGGTACGCCAAAATGTTCAGAAACTTCTGAAACGTGAAAATATGCAAAAATTTTCATTTTCTGGAATTTTTTTTTGCTTTCCACAAAAACTGATAGTAACTTCACAAGTTAAATATTTTTTGAATAATTCAAATCGGTTAATCCGTGCGCCCGAAAACGTCGACGAAAAATTGTCTCCACATATACACACACACACATCCATTTTTTCTGAGGTGCACCAAAATGTTCAGAAACCTCTGAAACGTGAAGATATGCAAAAATTTTCATTTTCGGGGAAAAAATTTTTTTGCTTTCTCCAAAAACTGATAGTAACTTCACAAACTAAATATTTTTTTAATCATTCAAATCGGTAAGTCCGTGCGCCCGAAAACGTCGACGAAAAATTGTCTCCACATATACACACACATATCCATTTTTTCTGAGGTGCACCAAAATGTTCAGAAACCTCTGAAACGTAAAGATATGGAAAAATTTTCATTTTCGGGAAAAATTTTTTTTTTGCTTTCCCCTAAAACTGATAGTAACTTCACAAGTTAAATATTTTTTAAATCATTCAAATCGGTTGATCTGTACTTCCGAAAACGTCGACGAAAAATTGTCTCCACATATACACACATACATCTATTTATTTTCTGAGGTATGTCAAAATGTTCAGAAACTTCTGAAACGTAAAGATATGGAAAAATTTTCATTTTCGAGGAAAACAATTTTTTTTGCTTTCACATACACACACACACGCATTCATTTTCCTGAGGTATGCCAAATTGTTCAGAAACCTCTGAAACGTGAAGATATGCAAAAATTATTCATTTTCATTTTTTGGCCCATTGCTATAACTTACCCTACGGGAAGTTGATAAAATCTGAACCATCCTACAAAACCTGGAATCTGCTGACTAACCTAATTCAGCATAAAACACTTAAAACTTATCTTGTGATATTTCTATTACATCGATGTCCTTCAACTTCGGTACTAATTCCATTTTTTCAAACTATTATTACCTCTGTCAGTCTCCTTCGATTCGACTTTGTCTGTAGCACTACTAGAGCTGCTCTCTTTGCCGGTTTTAAAATCGTAAACATCTTCGACACTAGTTGAAGCCTTCGAGTCCATCTCCTCGGATGACTTCTTCAGATCAGTTTTCTTCTCATCTCTCAAGCGGCCTGTTTGGGGAACACATTGGTTTGCACTCGAATCTGCTAATAGGTACTTTGTGTTTCACAACAAAAACAAAAGAAAAAGCAAGCAAATGGTAATAAATGACTCAAACAAAAAAAATTGGGAGAAATCATATTGACAAAATTCAGTAACGAGCTGCATCATGGTAATTAAATCCTTTGGACAAATTTGTGAACCCAAAACCTGCATGTAGTAGAAAAGCACATCAAATTTAAAATTCATGCTTGAATTAAGCTAAGAAAAGCAACTATGCTTACAAGAGAAAATAAATGTTAATAAATAAAAACAAAAACAACAATTGTTAACTGTTTAAGCTTCATTCCAATCAATTTTTTCACACATTCACCAATTTTTTTTAATTTTCCGTAATGCCAAAATATTCAAAACGATTTGAAACGCAATTTTTGTTATATGTAATCTAATGTTTTACATATCTTCTTATATATAAAAATAAACCTCGAAAATGGCTGAACCGATTTGGCCAGTTTTATGGGGCAATTCTGCCGTAACAGAGCTCATAAAATAGCGTTGTCATGGCAACGCTCTCTTATGCTTGTCCTTTGTATTGAAAATTATGTAAATGTCTATTTGCCGTGCGATCAGGCGTATTTTACATATAAAAAAGCAAGAAATAATGTTACGATAACAGAATTCTAGATGGTGCAGTTATCATAAGATTCTTCCTTGCTTGTTTATATGTAAAATATGCCTGGTCGCACGGCAAATAGACATTTTCATAATTTTCACTACCAATAACAAGAATAAGATAGCGTTGCCATGACAACTCTATTTTATGACCTCTGTTACGACAGAAATGCCCCATTAGTTTTGTAATATTTGTGGTGATCCAGAGATTATGGGAAAGGCGATAAATTGTTTCAAAAACGCGTAGAAACCTTATATCTTTAATTTATTTTTTTAGTATCTTATATATAAAATGTAGCTCGATATTATGTAAGTATGCTAAAACTCAAAAATGGCTGAACCGATTTGGCCAGTTATAGTCTTGCTAAGAAATATTTTTGCTAATCCAGAGATTGTGGGAAAGGTGAGAAATTGAATCAAAACCGCGTTAAAACTTTACATTTTTAATTTAAATCTTATATATAAAAATTGAGCTCGATATTATGATAAATTCGCTAAAACACGAAAACGACTGAACCGATTTGGCCAGTTTTAGTCTGGAAATATTTGTGCTAATCCAGAGATTGTGGAAAATGTGGGAAATTATTTCAAAACCGCCTAGAAACTTTAAATTTTAAATTTAAATTTTTTGTAGAAACGTAATTTGAAATGAAACAATGGAGGGCGGTTCATACGTCAAATGTCAAATAGTTTTGACAGCTTATATATAATTAAATTTATTTTCTTATATATAAAAATAGAGCTAGATATTATCATAGATTCGCTAAAACTCGAAAACGACTGAACCGATTTGGCCAGTTTTAGCCTTGAAATATTTTTGCTAATCCAGAGATTGTGGGAAAGGTGAGAAATAGTTTCAAAAACGCGTTAAAACTTTACATTTTTAAATTAAATCTTATATATAAAAATGTATTCGTATCTCCGAAACGGCTGGACCTGCCTTCGCCAAAAACTAATCAGCACGTCTTCTTAACAATAGGATACGAATGTTTTTTCAATCATTCAAATCGGTTGATCCGTGTTCCAGAAATCGTCGACGAAAAATTGTATCCACACATACATACACACACACAAACATCATTTTTTTCTGAGCCAGAATGATCAGAACGTTTACAAACGTGAAGATATAAAAAAAATTCATTTTCATTTTTTTTTAAATATTGTTAAAAGTAAACAGGTATCAAAATCATATTGAATAAAATCAGATTTAACTTTCTCATATAATTCTATCTTTTCTATAAATTCCTTATCAATACAAGTCCTTGCCTTAATAAAAAAAAATCTTGTAGTATTGACTTACTATCAAAAAAAAATCTGGAACTTTAGTCAATTAACTTAAAGTAATAATAAGAAGCAAGTTCCACTAAAATCTACCTCTATGACTTTTTTTTTAATTTAAACAAATTATTTATGTGTTTATTAAAATCCTGCAGTGACTTTTAATCCCAATGTCTATTTTAACACAAATACTACAAAGTCCACTTATTAAATTTCATCACCCTATTATTAAGATTAATTAGTCATTGATTTGATGCAACTCGGTATTAATAAATAACTAAAAGTTAATAAAAAGACCAAATATAAATGAAATACAACTAATGTTCGTATGTAAGTGTAATTAAGATTGTTAAATCAAGTTGTTAAAGCACACATAAGACTACAAGCAGATTAGTACATAAAATTATAGTCGACAACAGTGTTTTTGTCACATGAAAATAAAAATTATAAATATATAATAGTTGCTATCACATCTAGTTTTCTTGTAACATTAGATGCTCGTTTCTGATTTAGTAGACACTGTAACTAGTAGGTAAATTATATTTTGAAACCGATTCTGCCACATAACAGCAAAATGTTATATGGCAATGGATTCCTTAGCCTCCATAGTAACTACCCTGTAGTTTACACAAAGTAGTACTCTATATGAACAAAAATGAATAAATAATAAAAATTCCATCAAACACTTGATAATTACAAAAAAAAATATCAGATTCACTACTACTGACACCGGGTCATTGATATTAATAGAAATAATTACAAAAAACAATAACAAGAATCACAAGAAAAACATGAGCACCATGAAAATAATCGTGATATACTTATGAACAGATTTCTGCAACAATATTGTGCCAATGATGATTAAAGTCTAACAGGATTGTGATGATGGTTTTTTTAACGTTGTGCAGTCATGAAAACGTTACTAAACATAGCCATTTTTTAAATAAGGCCACTGTGTCATTTTGCTCATATATATAAATTTGTCCATACTTTCCTGACTAGAATCATTCAAATTCTTTTATGCAATATTTGTGCGCTTTAAATGACAAACAAGGTGATGAGAGTTTCTTTAACAAATCATAGAGATCAGAGAATTCAGGAATGTTAGCAGACTTAGCTTACTCTTAAAGAAAATCCTGGCTAAAATCTAAAAATTCAATAAAAGATCATAAGTATCAATAGCGGTCAATAGTATAACTAACAAACATAGAACTCTTTGGGACATGAGCCAGGCTCAGAAAAGATAAAAAAAATCTTTGCAATAAACGAAGTCTCTTCAAGCAGCTAGAGTAGAAGATAAAATCCTTCGATCACCTTCGACCGGTATCAATTCAAGTCCATATTTTGCCTACTAGATTCTCTTCCAAATAAAATACTCGGGTGCCTTAAATAACAAACAAAGCGAGAAGTTTCTTGAGGAATCCTAGCAGGTTATTACCATAACTTTAAAAATCTTTGCAATGAACGAAGTCTCTTCAAGTAGCTAGAGTAGAAGATAAAATCCTTCGATCACCCTCGACCGGTATCAATTCAAAGTCCATATTTTGCCTACTAAATTCTCTTCCAAATGAAATACTCGGGTGCCTTAAATAATAAATGAAGCGAGAAGTTTCTTTAGGAATCCTTGCAGGCTATTACCATAACCTTAAAATGGTCCTGTCAAAAACTAAATATTAAGAAAAAAAATCATAAGTATTAGATATCAGAAAATAATTCTGTAAGTGTGGTTAATTTTATTACGTGCAAGAAAATCTGATGTGTTTATTTATTTGTAAAAATTGATAACTTTTCATGTGACAAAAAAAAGTTGCTCAGTGTTATTTTTCATATAAGACAACCTAACCTCAAAAACAAATTGGACTGAAACACTCGAAAATATTGATTTTAACACAGTAATTAAGCAAAACTGAGACACTAGAGGTTAAATTATCAATAAATTTAATTTCCATTATCAAATGTCAATGTTAATAACTTTGGTTACCTTTATTTTGAGACGGTGTTCGTCTTTGCATCTCTTGTATTTATATGTCAAAATTCCAATAAGAACTGTACTTGAAAAAGTTTGACAAAAGACACCAGAATGTCCTTTGTCTTTTACTCACAAGCCTTTAAAGCGATTCCTTAAAACCCATCATGTATTTATTACAACCAGTATCAATATTATTATTATTACTTCTCAATGATCTCTTCTCTACGCCGACACGAAAGATTTCGCACGCGCATACTGCGTTCGAATTCGAACTAAATAATAGAAATATTTTCGAATTTTCCCAAAGGCCGACCTTGAGCTAAAATACTAACGAGCACATGTATTCGCGAGTTTGCATGTGTATAATGTAAATATTATATATATGTATAAATGTAATAATGTAAAGACGACGAAAATGTTATACTAATGACAAAATCGTCGTCTTTTAGTGTATGTATGTAATCACTACGCGGCGATAACAACGATTGCGGGCGGGCGTTGTTGCTTCGAGCTTGCATCCGAGGGATAGACCGAGAGCCGGTAACCCCCGAAAAAAAATTAAATTGTATATTGCTAGAACCAATTTTTAATCTATCAAGACTATCTGGAACGTTTTTCAGACTATCCGAAATATTATCAGTTCATTTCCATATCTAAAATTCTTAACACTATCTAGAATATTTAAGATTATCTAAAATATTTTAAGATTATCTAGAACATTTCAAGACATGTCCGAGATATTTTCAGCTCATCTAGAACATTTTTAGTATATCTAGAATGACCAAGAACACTATCAAGAATATTCAAGATTATCCAAAATATTTTAAGATTATCTAGAACATTTTAAAACTACCCAAATTATTTTCAGTTCATCTAGAACCATCTAGAACATTTCCATATCTAGAATTCTTAACACTATCTAGAATATTCAAGATTACCTAAAATATTTTAAGATTATCTAGAACATTTCAAGACTGTCTGAAATATTTTCTGTTCATCTAGAACATTTTTAGTATATCTAGAATGACCAAGAACATTATCAAGAATATTTAAGATTATCTAAAATATTTTAAGATTATCTAGAACATTTCCAGGCTGTCCGAAATATTTTCTGTTTATCTAGAA